GCTTCCTGTAACACACTTCACAATCCAAGCGACTCCTACAGTCTTTGCTTGTGTGTCCATGTTTCAAGCACCCAAAACAAACGCCCTTCTCCTTTAGAAACTGCATCTTGTCTTGTTGTGTCTTTCTTCTAAACTGAAAGCATTTTTCCAGAGTGTGATTGGTAAGAGAGCAGAACATACATTTGAGCTGGTGACCGTGAGCTGTCAAATTTTCCATTTCTTTATATCCATCCTTTGGTACATAATGCTGGTGGCAAATGTACCACTTTTCCTTTTCTGCTTAACTTGCATGGATAGCTTTGTGGCTGGAGAAACATCATTAATACTTCCGAACAGAGGATCTGAAACAATTTTGACTTGTTTTTCAATGAAATTCACAAAATCAACAAACACTGCTCTGCTTCCAGTTTGTTCCAGTATGTCACATGCCACATTTCTCCACTTTTCCCTCAGCTTGTATGGGAGTTTCATTAAGATCGTCCTGAGATTAGCTGGCATGTCCAACTCCTTCATATACTTTATATGATGTACTATATTGGAGCAACCTCGAAGGAACAAAGCAAATGACTGCAAAGCATTAACATCCTCAGGTTTTATTGAGGGCCAGTTGTTGATTTTGTCCATGTAAGCAGAAGAGATTGTATGTTCACTGCCAAAATGTTCAATCAAAAGCGTTTTTGCTCTTTGATAACCTGGTTCAGGGGCCATATGCTGACAACTTCTTACAATGTCTCTTGGTTGCCCCCTAGTGTACTGTTCTAGAAAGTACAGACAATCACTGAAATTTTGAGTTTTATCCTCGATGCAATTTTCAAAGGCTCTGAGAAAAGATTTGAAATACAGGGGATCACCATCAAATACAGGTATATTTCTCATAGGCAGAGCAGAGGCTGTGTTTTGTTGGACCAACAGTGCAGTTATTTCATTTTGACGCTGCATGATGTTCAAAATGTCAGGAGAATTGATGGATTGTTTGTCACAAACATCTTGCAAACCCAGTGATTGGGTACCTTGCCCTTGAAACACAGGAATGACAGTAGGTCTGGGTAGTTGTTTTACAACATGTTTGGGTTGGACACCAACAGGGATAGAATTCAACAAGGGACTGGAGGTAGGTTCAGAGCTTTTATTGGTGGGCACATAGCATTCAGCATTCGGATTTAGTTCATATGTCCCTTGAATTTCTGACCTTTTCAAGTAAGAATTCATACCATCTGATATTTGAGATGCACATTTTGACACTTTGGAGCCACACTTTGAGCTTACTTCCAGAACCTCCAATTTTGCATTAGTCACCTTTAATTCTGCCTCCAGAGCAAGTTGTTCCTTTTCTCTCCTTAAATTTTCCCGTTTCTTCCGTAAGTCCTCTTGTTCAAGTCGTATTTGTTCCTCCTGATCCTCCAAAATATGTCTTCGCTTTAGAGCAGCCATGCGCTCCTGTAATGCTGCTCTTTCTGCTTGAGCTAATATTTTTGCAGATGCACTGGATGAAATCTTTGACAGTTTAGAACCAGCCTTTGAATGCGTTGCAGAACCTTTATTGGATACACTGTCCTCAGGCCCAATATCAGTTGGATTATCAGGTGGTTTAATTGGAAGTTCATATGAATGGCCTGTGTTTGATACCCAACCTTTGACGTCATCAATAAAGCTTAAAAAACACTTCTCCTTTTGTTCAAAATTTTTATCTTGTTTCTCCTTCTCATCCTGTGGTATGTCCAGTGACACAAACGACAAATGATGTTGTTTTGCCTCATCAACACATATTATTATTTGATCCAAAAGGGACTTGACTGCATCAATATTGTCTGCAGAATGCATCAACTTATCCATCTGATTCATGTACGATTTGGCTCGTCTACATAACGCCGATCTTTTTTCCTGACACGTTTGCATAAAAAACATCATTCCTTTAGCGGTAAAACTTGTGCGTCTTCTTGTAGGAAACGCCGTGTCGCTTTTGGCTTTAGATGAAACGTCAGACATTTTTCCCTTTGTTGATGTCGGTCAAGTACACACAGTTGTTTGCGGAGCTTGAATAAAGCACATACCTTGTGGAACTTTGTTTGTTGCGGTGGTTGCCTTTGTGCACGGAGTCGAATAAACGCAGTAGCTGTTGTTACACGCGGCCGTGCGCGTCACATGTGAAGGCTTGAGCTTTCGTTTATTCCAATTGCAGCAGTAACGTTAATATCCTCCGCTCCGTAGTGCAGATCCAGCCCACGCCTCTGTCACTCCTAAGCCTTTTGTTTGGCTCACTCATCCAGGTGAGTAATCCACTTTCCAAACGGTAACGTTAATCCAGCAAACGACGAAAGTCCAGTATCCAGTCAACAATATATCCAGGGCGGGTTTTTTACTTATTGTAGTGGCTATTTGTCCATAAACTTAAACAAAACAAAAGAAAAACAATAAACTTCTCAAATGGCCACTTGAGGCTACGTCATAGTTTGGCTTTACGCAGGTTCAGAGGTACCAAAGCAAAATGTCCATACCAGGATTGAGTTTGAGGAGGTTTATTCACACAGTCCAAGCAAGCTCACAGACATTTCTGCTGCCTCTCTCACGCTGGTAAAAAACCATATGCCCTCGTGCCTAACGTACTTCCCACCTTGACCTACTTATGCAAATGAACGTAACACCACGTGACCAATAAACGAAAATACACGTAAAGCATAAATGCAAAATAAACCAAATTAACTTTAACAAGAAAAGAAAAGAAATAAATTAGACTATAAAGTAACTTAAACCCAAAATAAACAAAAAATAAAAATATAGCTCCAACAATTAGTGTTTTCGATAATTTTTCAATACTTTCCCTGAAAAGGAAAGTATTTCTTACAGGGCATTTCACATGCACCTCCTTTGCGTAGGTCTGTGCTCTTTAAATGCTGTAATAACCTAATGTAAATAAATCACCGACAAACATGCACATGCTCTGATTATAATCATATGCCGCTGGATGAACTTGCAAAGTATAACTAAGACCGGTCCTCGCGGCCTCAACACTACCAGCCCACTGGGAAAAGTCCTGAATCTTCAATTGCCACTCCGCTACTGAGTATCATCATTTAAATGATTTAAACCCGACTATTTTTTTAAAACATGGGTCATTGTGACTGACGTTCTCAACTTTCTATATTACTTTCACCCGCCCACAACATTTATGTTTCGTCCTGCTCCTGCCCGCAAAAAGCCTTTTTTCTGTACCTCCAAATACTTTCAAGTTAACCTACGTGTCGCCACCATACACAACAGCATAATTGCTCCTGATAAATTATTTGTATTAAGGCATTAACACACAAACCATTGTTACAACATGAAAGCAAGCAGCTCCTGCGTGCATGGTTTGGCATGACTGTGCGCTCCTTTAATAATTCCTAAAAAGCTGACAGTTCATCGTGATCTCACACATCTGTTATCAATGAAGCTTTCATAATATATACACTTTGTTTGTTATAATTAAAGGATTTGCCAACATACAGAAATTCAGCACTGGCCATTGCGTTCCAGAAAACAACACACATGTCTGTGATTGGCTACATCGCTCAACGCTTTATTCTCCCTCAACCCGCACACACAGAGTGCATTACCGCCCGCGCTCGGCGCATTAAAAAACACAATATTAGAGGGTTTTTTTTCCACAAGTCATTTCAAGTAAATAGGCACAAGTCCGAGTGAAGTCTAAAGTCACAAGGAGCAAGTCTAAAGTCAAGTCGAGTCTTTTCAGACATCTAGTCAAGTAAGTCTCAAGTCCAGAAAATTGCGACTCGAGTCTGACTCGAGTCAAGTCATATGACTCAAGTCTCCCACCTCTGCATTATACAATGTTTTAATCATTCCACTATTTTTGACAGAAATCGTTGGATGAAAACAGACCCCCGGCCCTAAAGTATCAGCAGAGAGACAGCATTTTTTTTTAAATGGATAGTAAACTTACATTTTAAAATGCAGCAATTGCTGCTGTTTTGCACAATGTCCCTTTGCAATGTCCCGAACAACTTTAATGCGACTGGTTTATTTTTGCTGCGGTAGGCATTTTGGCATGCTTAAACACAAATGCTGTCGAGTAACATGGTTTAGTAGCCTAACTACAAGCCCTGAAAATGTTTTAATTTTATGATCATTTGGTTTAATTTATTACACTTATCAGTTTCAGTTAATAAATCTACTAACAAATTAAAATAACACAAAGTTAAAGACAAGTAACCTATTGACAGCCTTTCTAAATTATAGAAAAAAACTGGGCACACAGCCTAATGTTGAAGTGTGCCTTCTTTGCTTAAATTTGATGGAATAACAGAGGCCTATTTTTACTTCACATTTATTTTATTTGAATTGACTTTTTTCAGTATTGTGATTTTGTGAATTCGTTTAACTACAATATTAACCTTGAATTTATCTGCGACCTCAGCTCTCAATGAGCAGTGGCAGATTATGTCATACAGAGAATTATCGGACACTTTAAATAAATAAACAGTTAATAAACTCGCTAATAAACAGCTACCTTAAGCTTCAAGAACAGTAAAACATAAAAGCTGTCGGCCAACAGCATGTAATGAGGTTCGATCTCAGGTCGTTTGGAGGTCCATGAAGTTGAGGTTGATGCGTTAACCACAGAGCTACCGTTAGAATGCTTATGCATTATTGTCTTATATGCTTGTAAAGTCTCATTGATGTAGCCTAATATGATTCTACTGCAATGTTTTAAGTTTAAGTATTGTGATTAATTAATTAATTTAACTACGTTTCACTTGAATTAATCTGCTACCAGCTTTCAATCGCTCTGAATGAGACACAGAAACCGAAAAATTCTTGTGACAGCAGTATTTGTCTAAAAACAATCCTAACCATTCTATTTAATCAGAAATGATCTTATAAATGTAAAATTCCGAACTTTAATAAGGCTGACAATTTAAACTGACTGAAATATCAGCTAGTAAGACGTTGGCCAAAAGAGACATTTGTGTTATGTAATTGTCGTGTTGTTTCTCTGTTAGTAAGAAACCGGACACAGTGCGAGCTCCGTTAATTCCGCTGCCCATGCCCAAGAAACTGTACTTCTACATCAATTCTGAGATCAAGTGGGATCTAGAGATGGCCAAGCAGAATCTGGATATGTGAGTTCAACTGCCTGTTATTGTTTTGGGCACTTTTTATTGTTTATTTAAAGGGCCCCTATTATGCTAATTTCTAGGTTCATAATTTAGTTTGGGCTCTACTGGAATACGTTTTACATTGGGAATTATTTAAACAAGGAATATTGTGACTACAAGTGAGGGTTGCGTTATTGGACTTTAATCTTTGCAGATCTTTTCAATGGTCAAACAGCAACATTACTCACTAAAGAAAGTTGAACATGTAAAAAAGCATAATAGGTCCTCTTTAATGTTACACTGCATTCTTTTGCTGAAGAATATTTTGGTAGTACTTCGGGCTCTGCCTGACTGTGCAAATAAAAATGGTAATTGTACTGCTCATATTAAAAAAACATTCACTACTAGGCTTACATTTACATTTAGTCATTTAGTAGACGCTTTTATCCAAAGTGACTTACAACTGAGAACTAAACCAAGTGAGTCATTGTGAAAGAGGCAAAAACAACGCAAGAAGTGCTCAAAATACCAGACGATGAATAAGGGTCTTATCATGCGAAACGATCGGTTATTTCAAAACTTATTCCAAAAATGTAACTTTTCTAAGGACAAATGCTAGCCTTGCTCTATTCTGTGAGGCGCATTTGTAACATCACGTAATACGTAATTACGTTCAAAAGGTCACGGGCGACGTAGCCGTAAGTACAGAGTCAGTGTTTACAAGTTGAACGCATAGGTTGAACCTGCAAACTAACTCAAACGCCGTTTACAAAAAATGAATTAAAAGGTAAAACAACGATGTCGGACGATTTTGATTCTGTACTTGCGGCTACGTCGCCACTGACCTTTTGAACGTAATTACGTATTACGTGACGTTACAAACGCCCCTCACAGAATAGAGCAAGGCTAGCATTCGTCCTTAGAAAAGTTAAATTTTTGGAATAAGTTTTGAAATAACCGATCGTTTCGCATGATAAGACCCTTATTCATCGTCTGGTGTTGTTTAAAGACATTTGAAGCTGCATCTGAAACTTATTAACTCTCTTTTCGACCTTGGACCGTCTGGTTCCCATGTAAGTCCATTATATGGAGAAAAATCCTGGAATGTTTTTATCAAAAACCTTAATTTCTTTTCGACTGAGGAAAGAAAGACATGGACATCTTGGATGACATGGGGGTGAGTAAATTATCAGCAAAAGTTTTTTTTCAAAAAGTGAACTAATCCTTTAATAATATCCTATCAGAGTTTCAGTCGGGCTTTCAAAAGAATCATAGTACCATCTCTGCTTCGTTGAATGTGGTAAATGACATCATTGAGGCACTGGACAACAAAAAAGATGTGTGCAGCTCTTTTTATCGATCTTTCTAAAGCTTTTGAGACAGTGAACCATTGTATTTTAAAACGGAGACTGCTCAGCATTGGTCTTTCTGAGAAGGCAGTTGGTTGGTTTGAAAATTATCTCTCAGATAGGACTCAGTGTGTCACTTTTGACGGTAGTTTTTTCAGGTTTCTTACAAGTGGTATCAGGGGTTCCTCAAGGGGTCGGTGCTGGGTCCACTTTTATTTACCATTTATGTGAATGATCTTGGCTCAAATGTCCATAACGCTCTCATTTTTATGCTGATGACACAATTATTTACAGTTGTGAAGAAACCCTTCACGAGACTTTTCAGTACCTGCAGGATGCCTTTGATGTTGTACAATCTAGGCTTTTTGACTTGAAGCTTGTGCTGAATGCAAATAAAACAAAGGCAGTCTTGTTCTCAAATAAAAGGAGCTCCACGGCTATCACTCCAAATATTGTAACCCTGAAGGGAAATGTAATAGAACGTGTGGCTGAGTATAAGTACCTGGGGCTTTTACTTGGTGAACATTTGACTTTTAAGGCTCATATCCAAAGTTTAGCCTGGAAACTTAGGTTAAAGCTTGGATTCTATTTTAGGAACAGGGCCTGCTTTTCCCTTGCAACAAGGAAAAAATTGGTCGAGGTTAACTTTTTGTCTCTTTTGGATTATGGTGATTTCTTATATATGCATGCCCAAAATAAATATTTGCACCAACTGGACTCAGTTTATCATGGTGCAGATTCATTACAGGGTGCAAACCCCTTACACATTGTTGCACTCTGTATGATCTGGTCCAGTGGCCCTCCCTTGCTCAGCGCAGGCTAACCCGGTGGCGATTGTTTATATATAAATCCATTATTGGGACATTGCCCCCTTATTTATGTAGGCTTATATGCTTCAAGGCCAGCACTCGTTCCCTGCGGTCCAATAATTATCTCCACATGATTGTGCCTAGGGCTCGAACAGAGTTAGGGAAGCAGGCATTTAGAATCTCTTCCCCATCAACGTGGAACCTATTACAGAATGACTTAAAACTTGATAACTTGGTCTCCTTTGGTCACTTTAAAAGGCTAGTAAAGTATCAGGAAACAGCCACAATGGGCACCTGTCCCTGCTTCCCAAATTAGGATAAGTGTCTAATATTTTAATTTGTTACATAGTATTTTTAACTGTTGTAAGGTCATTGTATTTTACTTTTTAAGCATTGTAATTGTTAATGTATTATGCCTTGTATGTTTATTGTATTTATTTTTGTTTTGTATTTTATGTGGAACCTTTTAGTGCGGCCTTCTTGGCCAGGGCTCCTTCGCAAAAGAGACTTGTACTCAAAGGATTTCCCTGGTTAAATAAGGGTTAAATAAATAAAATACAAAAAATAAAAAATTTTGTTTAACATGTAATATTAAGGGCATAACATATCGGTCGTCGCTGAGTATCATGAATAATCATGTATCCTATTTTTTTATATGACCTTTAAATGATGGAGTATTTTAAGTCTATGTTGCAGCTATATGAAAAAAAGCGATCAAAACGCGGGGGCACGTTTTTGGTCCTCAGGGGGTTTGTCACGGGTTATGGTGCAGGATGAAGGAGAGGCTGACACAAAGACTCTAATTCAAATATTTACTTGTATAATCTAAACTCCAGGTACAGAATGATGGTCAAAGG